AAAACCCACACACAGACACACACACCCCTCAGGGCTTGCCTGCAGCACCAGAGCACGGTGGGGTGGGGGGGGTAGATAGAGCTGCCTCCGGATGCCTCCCCTTGAGGTGTCAGCCTATGCATCAGGATCAGCAGGGAGGGGCGGACAGGATGGGGGGGAGGTTACTCACGCAATGTACTGCTCACTGCGGTTGTACTTCTTGGCCAAATACTTGGCAGACGCCTTGCTGGGGATCTTGACCACGGAGAGCTCCTTGCCGTAGCGCACCGTCTCGCAGGGGGTCCGGCAGGAGCAGAACTCATTGTCTTTCTCCACCAGGAAGTCTGTACAATAGAGGGGGGGCACCCCGGGGGGGGAGGGCAGGAGAAGCCACGGCTGGCTGAGAAGGGCCAACAGACCTTCCCGGGCTCCACCTGGCCAGGGAACCGAGGGCCCCCTGGTGAGGGAGGGGTCAGGAGGGAGCCATGGGGCGGGCAAGGGGGTCCAGGGCTTACCCAGGGCAGGGTCGGCACACTCCTTGTACTGCTCAGGGGTGCAAACGTCGGCATTACCTGCTTGCGAGAAAGAACAGCAGCCGTGGAGGCAGGAGTGGGAGAATGAGCACCTGGGGGGGGAGCCTCAAAGCCCCCAGCCCCCTTCTGCACCCCCAAATCTGCTAGTGGGAGAGTTTGTGTGAAAGCCACCGTAGGTGCTTGAGCTATCTCCTGTGGAGGAGGTGTACCTCCCCGACTGTAGCCAGTGGGACCCAGGACCTCGGGGAGAGGTGGTGAGCAGCGCCCCAACGCTGGAGGCCTTCAGGTTTGAAGACAAACCACCGGGCAGATCTCCTTGGATTTGTATTCCTGCATCGAGCAGGGGGTTGGACTTGATGGCCTTACAGGCCCCTTCCAACTTCACGATTCTGTGATAGGCTCCTCCCCCAGGGGTCTCCAGCCCCCCCCACCTGGCATATGCACCATGCGGCAGTTGCAGTTCTCAGCCAGATAGCGGGTCTCGCAGTCAATGCGGCAGGCAGCCATGCTGTAGTTGGCGAAGAAGGTGGACTCGGTGGGGTTGGACTTGCAGACGCCCCAGGGGGGTGGGAGGTAGAAAATCTGCGGCAAAAGGTGGTCAAGG